GTACATACCCTAGAATGCATTACCTTGTATATTGGCAGTCCTTCCCCCAACAACACTTTCTCATTTCCCTCCAACCATCTGATAGCTGGGAGATGGAAATATTTTTTAAAGCAGCATTTAAATTGGACTAGTAAGGTCCAAAACACACTGCAGATATAAATGCTAGGGAACATAGGAGCTGTAGTTTGTTGTGTTTATAAGTGACAGTTTTCCTGTTAAGTACCTGCATGTCATAAGCATTTGAATTAAAATTACCATATTGAAATCAAATCTGATTTTTATTTTTATTTTTATTTGGTGTGTGTTGGAAGACACGGCGAGTATATCCCAAACTCTATATTTAACTGGAAAAGTTGGGGAGGGGGGTCGTCTTGTACGCCCAGTCATCTTATACGCCAGAAAATACGGTATATTGCAAGGGAGCACATTAAGTTTTCAAATCTTAGTATTCAGTGGGGTACAGAGCCATTTGGGGACAGGGCAATATGTACACATACAGCTTGTCACTGCTTTAGCTATATGTGTGTTGCAGGTTAGCACCTCCATATGGCTACAGTCTCATGTCATATCAATAGTGACCATTTATGGATCAACAGAAAAGATAAGTGAGGAACCTTTAAGAATGATGCTAGCCACACAGTTAAGCTTTAACTGAATTAGAATGGGCTGTACTTTTTACATTTCGCCATTATTTGACATCAAAATTTGAATTTTATAACACTTCATAAAACTTATGTAGATTCTAAGCAATGAGACCTTATGCTGTAATAAATATTTTAGCTTTAATATTTTGCAAGACACCTGATTCGCTTTTTCACTAAAGCTACCAAGTTGGAAGTTATGTGCCTATGTTTTTCAGTCACTAGAAGCTATTTCATGAACTTCAGAATGTGAGTTAGATCACAGCAGTGAAAAAAAAAAGAGTTTTAGATTCCTTCCCTGAAGATTATTAGCTATTAACAAATGAGATATGCAAAAGATTCTGCTTGAAACAAATATGCATTGTGTGCTTTAGCTTCCTGTCTAGGATATTCAAATTGAAGATAACATTTAGATGCAGTCTATTGGAGTAGCTTTAAAAAAATGATAGTTTAACCACTTTCTCTTTTTCTTTTGTACTCTCTTGCATTTCCAAAGACTCATTTGTCAGATATAGAGATCAATAGGATCATGTGTATGGATATCCTAATCCCCCTTGCTGTATCTGTGAGCTATAGTCTAGTATAGTTTACAAAGTATATATTTATTTGCTAGTGAAGTAGAGTTTTATTTGTCCTCATCCTGCTTAGTGTACACATATTTTGAATCATAACAAAAGGCTTTAAATTGTTTGCAGCTATGATCTACAGCAATGGGTATAAATCCTCATAGTATTGATTAGTCTCACAGAGCTGGATTTGACTTCAATAGAAAAGCAAGCACTGAAAGGGGTTGATATCAGCTCTCAAGATAATGCTATAATTACTATGTATGCAGTCAGATTTTAAAAGACTTTCTCATGAAGAAACAAAGAACTACAGGAAAGATAAAGAACATCTTAACAAAGGCAACTCCTACACCTATAAAATACAGGCTGAGCACTATTAATACAAACAACAGGATTGTCTGTTTCTGCTGTGTTAACAAATTTTGCTTGAATAAGCAAATGCAACCATGTTATCACAGCCTTGTATTACTTCTTTTCTTCTAAGGCATTACAGACATTTTTACATTGAAAGCATATACATATATAATCTGTATGTGTATGTATGACAATATAATTATATCATTAGATACAATATAAAAATGTATAATGTTAAAAGATGCTGCAATAAAGTTATTGTTAATTTTAAAAAAGAAAACAAAAACTGAACATGGCTTCCTTATTACTTCAGGGCTGAGAATCTGTAGTCCACAGGTCAAAATGTTTATTAAAACAGAAAATTCCATAGTATTCTATGTCCTATTCAGTTATATGACACTCATGAGTACTAAGAATGTGAAAAACCTCCTGATTAGTCTTTTTGATTAGCTTTCCCAGCCACAAGAGACAGATCTACTTTTCCCTTTCCCTTTCCTTTCATAGTGCTGCCATAACAGCCATTTCTGTTATCTGTTATTAATCTCCATTGTAAATTGTTGGCTCCCTCAAATTAAATATTGTTTTAATTGACAATTGTTTAATAAGTTTTTAAGGGGTGGGAGGGTTAGGTTTGGGATTGATTTTATTGTATTGTATTTTATGTTGGAAGCTGCCCCGATTGCTATGCAGAGGGGCAGAGTATAAATAAATTTTATTATTATTGTTATTTTTGTTGTTGTTATTATTATTTAGAGAATGTTAACTATCTCTGTCCTTTCCATCATTATCAATGAACCATATTCTTGGTGAATATGTGATCAGAATCTGTAAGAATAGATCATATCCACTTATGCCCTCACTCCATTCTAAAAGTATAAGAAACGTGAAAAATCAGAATGTTACATGTTTCTCCTCCCATGTAGGCAACCTTACATGTATTCTTGAGAAAGCAATCAGCTAGGTAAGCAGCTTCCATTGGGTTCACTAACATAGGATTTTGGGATAGAAATTGTAGCTCAAGATCCACCCCACTGTGGCCTTTCATATCAATTCTGTATCAAAAGGGATACTTTTGTCAAGTAGCCCAAAAGGTGGCTCCCCAATGCAGGAAAACAGCTATACCACATTGATCCAGATGGCCCAGCATGGGAGAAGCCCAAGTCACTTAGCCATGTTGGAATCTCTCAAGATCAGAATCAGCATAAAACCTTGACTATGGGAATGACAGTAGGTAGCTGGACTGGGAGATTGTTTGCATATTGCTCCTGGGAATGAAACTCTTTTAGTCTGGGAACATTCACACCTGTTATAATATATTGCATCCCATTCTTATCCTCTGGGAAAGTCACTTAAGTCTATCAACTCCTGAAATACTATCCTTAGGAACCATTTCTGGGTATAAATATATGTGCCTGAACAATAGTGATTTGGTCCAGTTTTCAATAAGGCAGAAACTCTGTCAGATTCAAATTTGGCTCCTCAGTACTCCTGTCTGTGCTACACAGCTTTCAGCTCCCAGATTTTTCCCAGATTGGAGAACTACCAGATTGTTAGTGTGTGTGTGTGTGTGTGTGTGTGAGTGTGAAAGGTATTGCATGAATAGTGATTTCCCCTTTGCTGTTAATCAATAAAATCAATAAAATTAAGTTGTACTTTGTACTCTGAGAGTTCTAGTTTTTGGAACTGTTAAACATAGGTGAGATCCTGACTCTTTGAAGTTACCCAGCATCCTCTCACTGCTATTAATTTGAGAAAATTAAAATTGCCTTATTATGTATTAATTTGTGGGTGCCATCTCAGTAACCTAGCCATTTAGGTCATGAAATCCAGGGTTCTTTTCAACAGAACAAGAAAACCTCCAAACAAACAAGATTGGATTACATTTTTATGTAATACATATCACTAGCTAAGGAAGTGGGGGAGATATATTAATCCATTATATCCAGTCTGGAAAAGAGGTAAGAATCAAACTATCCTCCAGAAGTTACTTTGGATTGCAAGTCCCATCAGCCCTAGACAAGATAGGCAATGGTAGAAAGCTGCAGTTCAACAACTTTTTTCTTTTGGGGAGGGAGGTTGCATGAGTCCCACCACTATTCTCCTATTTCCTGATTCCTTGATGAGCTTGGAATTTAAGTGACAAATAACTAAAGAATGCTGCAATCACCAATTAATAATTTAGTTACCCCTGGTTCTAGCTTCCATAGCTGAGACCAGTCTGCATTAATTTCTTCTTCCACAGAATGACAGAACTGAAGAGAAAACAACAGATCCATTGTCCTATCCCAGGCAAAAATATATAAAGAACTACAAAACCTATTATTGGGAGCCAGAGTGGTTTAGTGGTTTGAGCATTGGGTTGTGGAGATCAGGGTTCAATTCCCTGCTCAGCCATGGAAACCCACACTCTCAACCCCAGAAAACATTGTGAAAGGTTTGCCTTAGGGTCACTGCAAGTCAGAAGTGACTTGAAGGCACATAAGAATAACAATACCTAATATTGGTTCTTTTCTTCTTCTCATCAAACGTCATTTGCAAAGAAAATAATTTCCTGTCTAGGATTTGATCCTTGCATTTATAAATAATCCATATTCAATGATCTATTTAAAAGTGAAGTGTTGATACTCTTAAGATTTCAAAGGTAATGTCAGGATCTCAAAATATGTTACTGTATTTTTTTAAAAAAAAAAACCTGTTTGAATTTCAATGTTAATCTTGCTTTTCTAATAAGCATTTGTTTTGTTTTTTGTTTGTTTGTTTTTGTCTCCAGGCATTAATTAGTAGCCATGTGAGGGCTGAATTCTTGATGGCAGCAATTGATTACATTTCACAGACATGTAAAAAAGTTGTGATTACATAAACTCATTAGCTGTAGGACATGCAGAACCAACATTATAATAACAGGACATTTAATTTAACTGAAATACAATTAGGATCCCACTAATAATTGAAACATACAACAGAATTCAGAATTCTTCCAATAGGTGATAAACAGGACTATTCTCTATTTAAAGGGGTAATAAAAATTATTCTGGAAAGGGTTGGAGAAATGTGTTTTTGGAAAATTTCCTCGTGTCAGGTGGTGCTAGCCAGTGGATGATATGATATTAATGAATTACACCGGCATAAGTCAAATCAAAGTCAAATTAATATCTGTGTAACTCTTTATTTTTGTCACTGGAATCTTCTACCTTTCTCAAAAAGTCACCAAACCTTCTGGGAAAAAACACCTTTTTCTTGCTTTCCAGTCTTGACATGGTCATGTAGTGGGGGATATCTGAGAAACATCTGGTTATGATGCTGCAGATGCATGCATGATGGAATCATTGTGTTGCAGTTCCAGAGGATCTCTTGGAAGTCTGGGATGCCTTCACTGTTCTGTAATTGGCTACAGTGATGCTTCTCAAACATCACTCACTCCTCACTGACCACTATATGGCTGTGTCACAAAAAAGTATGAAAAAAAATCAGCTTACTGGGAAAGTTAACAAACAAGATGGTTAATTTTGCCTGCACAATGTTGATGCTGCATCTTCACAATGCATGATCTGGTCCATATGCTCTAGTGGTTTGCATGCCAAAGATTAGTGTTACCCAACAAAAGTGTGTGTGTGTGTGAACTCATACACCCACACACATGTACGTGCATTCATGCATTAATCAAAGTTAAAATAAACAGCCAATATTCCATCCCTCACAAACATGTACACACATATGCATACACACTGACAAACACACATACAAATATATCCACATGCACATATCCATTCTCACTTGTAACACTCATTTGTTCATTTAGGTCCTTGAGAAATTCTTGAAGACAACCTGGTAAAACATGTGCTAGACAGTGCTGTTGTTAAGTGAATTTGTAACTGATTGACAGACTGAATCCCAAAAGTGCCAAACAATAGTTCCTTTTTCCGCCTGGGCTAGTGGGGTGTCTTTGGGTTCTGTCCTGGACCTACTGTTCTTTAAAATCTTTATAAATTATTTGAATGATGGAGTAAGAGTATGTTTATCAAATCTGTACATTATATCTAATTAGGAAAGGTATCTAACATCCCAAAGGACAGGATCAGAATTCAAAATGACCTTAACAGATTGGAGATTGGGCAGAAAGTAACAATGAATTTAAACAGAGTTGAATTTTAGGTTCTACTTTTAGAAAGGAAAAATGAAATGCATAAATGTAGAATGAGTGACTGTTGACCTGGCAACAGATGTGAAAAGATCTAGCAGTCCTTGATGTAGACCCCTAGTGTGATGTGGCAGTGGTGTGTGGCCTGCACTGGGTGACACACTAGAAGAGAGGTGACACCCAGTCATCCCCCCTGCACTGTCTCCCATATGTGTCATTCCATCACCCCCACACATGCCACTCCATCCCTGAGCATGCACACTGCTCCACCACCTGCGCACACACTGCTCTGTCCACTGTGCATGCACTGTTCCACCCTCATGAGCATTCTTCCTTATGCCATCCTGTTCTTTTCCTCATCAGGAAAAGGACAGGCCAGCACGGGAAGAGGAAGCCTTTACTGAACCCAGAAGTCCTGCCCCCAGAAGCTCTGATCCCATGAGCCTTAACCCCACATTAGATGACACTTGGTGTCAGAATGCTGCTGTGATGTGGTGGCAAAAAAGTAGCAGACCACAAGTTAAACAAGACAGTCAACAGTGTGATATGACAAAAAAAGAAAAAGAAAGAAAAGAAGGAAGGAAGGAAGGAAGGAAGGAAGGAAGGAAGGAAGGAAGGAAGGAAGGAAGGAAGATAAGCCCAAACAATTTTAGGTTGCATCAATAGGAGTTTATTGTCCAGACTAAAGGGACTATGTCCCATTCTATTTTGCTTTGGTTAGACCTTGATTTGAATACTGTGTCCAGTTATGGGCACCACAGTTCAAGAAGGATGTTGATAACCTGTCCTGAGGATGGTGACCAAGATTATAAAATTTTGGAAAAGATTTAGAAATCAAACTCTATGAGGAATGGCTTAAGAAGCTGGGTATGTTTAGGTTGGAGATGTGAAGATTGACAGTTGATATGATGGCAGCCATATTTAAATATCTGAAGAGATGTCATATAGAAAATGGAACAGACATGTTTTCTGCTGCTCCAGAGACCAGAAATATGAAGCAATGGATTCAAATGAGAAGAAAAGACATTCCAAAACATTTGAAAATACTTGAGCTATTTGACAATGGAACAGATTGCCTTTGAGGGTGAAGAACTCTTCTTTTGTGGATGTCTTTAAAGATGGATGGCCAACTTTTGAGAATGCTTTAGTTATGTATTCCTGCATAGCAGGGGTTTGGACTGTATGCCCTTCTGGTCCCTTCAAGCTCTAACATTTTATGATTCATATATAAACACACAGAGAAATCACTCACTCCACACAGTGGAATTAGGCTGGGGGGGGGGGCAACACTATTTATAGTCTGTTTCTGCCTCAGTGCACCATAAAATATTAATGTACATCACTATTATTTCAGTCATAGTATTAGCTTAGGGAAGCATTTCTTTGAGTCTGATGCAGAGCTCATAAAAGGATCCCTGATAACTTTAGTGCATATTGGATAAAGTTCTTACTGCTTGCTTGGGAGTAAAGTAAGTGCTTTTCAAGAAAAACCAGTACATTCTTTTTTTTT